GTGGTGGCCATCTGAGGATTGCTCATTTTGCTGGCTGAGACTGTGAAGAGGTGACTGGTGGCCTGAATGGCAGGGTAACCTATTCCTTCCTTGAAACCACGTATCTCCTGATAAGCAATGATGTAAGTTTCTCATATAAGCTTATTCAAGGTTCTGAACACCTCCCTGCACCTCTTGCTATCTCTGACACCATGTTTATCCTTACTGTTCTTATTCCTTTTTTCGTTCCATTCTGGTATCAAGATACCATTGGAGTTTTGCTGTTCATATGCTGAAAAACAACCACAGAAAACTGAACTTCCTGTAGCATCAGCGATTTTTGGGGTTGGTGGTATCTTGAAAGGACTGGATAACATGGCCAAGTTCTATGTCACTGAAGGCGCTAGGTTCATGGCCGCGTTGTTTTAGGACTATGATTCTGCCTTAGCCCCCTTTAGATGCCATTCTTCATTTCTCCAATCATTTCAATTTCTTTTTGACCAAATCTTCTTCAATTCTACTAAATTCAATTTAAAATATAGTATTTCAAACAAGATGAAAAATCATGCTCTTCTCAATAGGAAATACCATCGTGGGTATCATCTCCCTCCAACAGCACCCACTTCTTGGTATTTCAGGAGAAATTAGAAAACATGGATACCTACAGAAGGAGGTATCTACGTAGCAAACATCTTTCCATTGTTAGTGTGGTGAGGTTTCTTCCTCTAATAATGCCTAAGAGCTGAATAGAAACAAAAAATAAACAGATAAAACAGCAAAATGCAGCATGCTACAAGTTTTCTTTAAAAAATACAAATCCCACAAGGAAAACCTTGTTCCCTTCTTATGGTTTTACTCGTTACTAGAAAGACTAGAAATTAGCTTCTTAGCTGTCCACAAGTAGCCTTCACTATTGGAAAAGCTTGGTTTTACCCTTTTTTCTCCATACAGCAGGGTCCTTCCATATGAGTTTTTATTTCTTGTTAAACCCTGTCAATTTCTTTCACTTATTAAACTTAGAATACTTTTATTGATAGGATAGGAATTCAAACACTTGATAGGGGCTGACCTTAGTGCTTCCCCAGCACCTGCAGAGATTTGACAAATGAAATTGTGTTGCAATAGGAGGTGGTTTTGGCGATGGATTTTCCTTCACCCTGAGGTACACAGTGCTCTTTCCATTTTCACACGGTAGTAAGACATTTATTTTCTTACTGTAGTCAGAGACATGAGAAACGTAGATACTAGAAGATGCTGCTACCAAACATGACCATTTTATTAGTACTAAAAATGAGCTTCCCATTTGGTTGATGTTATATTTTCATATTATATGAAAGCAAAGTTTTTTAAGATTTTATTTATTTATTTGAGAGGTAGAGTTACAGACAGAGAGAGGGAGAGACAGAAAGTTCTTCGTCTGCTGGTTCACTCCCCAAATGGCTGCAACAGCTGGAACTGAGCCGATCTGAAGCCAGGAGCCAGGATCTTCTTTTGGGTCTCCCACATGGGTGCAGGGGCCCAAGCACTTGGGCCATCTTCTACTGCTTTCCCAGCCCGTTAACATAGAGCTGGATCAGAAGAGGAGCAGCCAGTAAACGAATTAGCACCTATATGCGGTGCCAGCACCACAGGTGGAGCCTGAGCCTACTATGCCACAGTGCTGGCCCCAATACATGCTTATCTTATCTGCATCTGTTCTATGGAAATAGTAAGTGAAAAATACACCTTTCAAATGTTCTTTTTTTCATACATTAGGAAGTATTGTAGCATTATCCATGTGCGATATTTTCCAAGACCCCATGTGGATGCCTGAAATTGTGGATTAGTACTGAATCTAGTATATGCTATTTTTCCTGTGCATGCATACATACAACTAGGATAGTTTACTTTACTAATTAGGCATAGTACATGGCTAATGATGATAGCTAACAATAAGCAAGAACAATCAATTGTGATATAATGTGATACAACTTATTTGAATGTAATCTCTATCTCTTAAACTATCTTATTTTCCTGCACTCACCCCTGTTTTTGTTCTGATGTGAGCTCCTACAATGCCTATGTGATGAGGTGCAGTGAGGTGAATGATGTAGGCATTGTGATGTAACATCAGGCAACTACAAAGAGTTTTTCTTGAACATGGGCACTGTGATACCATGATAAGCATTCTGATAGTGGAGTTGGTGCAATCTGATAGTGCAATGGCTGGGGCTAGGCCTGGCCGAAGCCAGGATCCTGGAGCTTCAGCTGAGTCTACCACACAGGTGCAGGGGCTCAAGGACTTGGGCCATCTTTCACAGTTTTCTCAGGTGCATTAGCAGGGAGTTGGATGGGAAGTGGAGCAGGTGGGGCTCAAACTGGCACTCATATGGGTTGTATATTGCAGGCAGCAGCTTAACTCGTTATGCCAATATGCTGGCCCCCACTGTGATTTTTATCAGACTTTTCCAAGTGTTTCCAAGATGATGTCTGAAATTAGATCAGAAAGTTTACTGAGAGCTCAATTCCCCATCAACTGGACATTTTATATAGGTGGAAAGAACAACAGAATGCCATTTCTTCATGGAAATGTGTAATCCTTGGTATATGCAATGAGCACTGAATAATTTCTAATATATCAGAGCTCAAGTTCATCGGATCTTAGAAAAAGATTTCTTGTCATAAAAGATTATTCTTTTTGAAATTCAGGTACTTTCCTTTGTTGCATATATAAATGCCTGACACCTTTTATGAATGAAAGATTTCAGACAACATTCTCTAATGACTTAGGAGAACTAAGTACAACATTTTACAAGTAACTGGTGACAGAAATGTTTAGATCTTATCTCATTTTGTATTTTATCTAAAGTGCTTCTAATTTATTAAAATAATAAATTAAGATCAGAAAACATAGAAATCCAGTTTCCTAGGTACAGTTTTATATTCTTTTTGCTACTTAACTTTGAATACATCTTGAAGCTTGATTATGTCAAGTAATTTTTAATTTTTCTTCATTTGATTGTACAGGGGATTTTCTCTGTCTTAGAAATTTCTGCCTAACATTACTCATCTCAAAATGCATGTGATGCTTTTATCTTTAGCTTTATTAAGATATAATGGACAGGGGCCGGCGCCGTGGCTCACCTGGTTAATCCTCCGCCTGTGGTGCTGGCATTCCATATGGACGCCGGGTTCTAATCCCTGTTGCTCCTCTTCCAGTCCAGCTCACTGCTGTGGCCTGGGAAGGCAGTGTAGGATGGCCCAAGTGCTTGGGCCCCTGCACCCACATGGGAGACCAGGAGGAAGCACCTGGCTCCTGGCTTTGGATTGGCGTAGCTCTGGCTGTTGTGGCCATTTAGGGGGTGAACCAACGGAAGGAAGACCTTTCTCTCTGTCTCTATCTCTGTCTAACTCTTTCTGTCAAAAAAAAGATATAATGGACAAATAAAATTGTATATATTCAAATTTTGCAAAATTACAATGGGTTAGAAATAGAAAATATTCTATATAGAGATGGATCTACTACCTCTTAAGCATTTGAATGGAAGAAACATAAGACTGTTTCCTAATTTTGTGTTTGCAACCTGAGATATTTGTGACTGAATGTGGTGTTGGCAGGTGAAATGGTATAAATGGATACCATTTGCATATCTGATGTACAGAACAATAATTTAGCATATTCTTTATTTCTTATGTGTACCTATGGCCATGACAAGTCCAGGAGCAACGTCATTATCATTTATCTTATTATCTTTCTCTTCAAAATGGGTTGTGATGGGCTTTTGTACTTACCTCAATGATGTGAGTCCAGAGCTTAGTCTCTTCTCTGGGTGGTAAGTGTTTTGGAGCCTCTATTCCACATATCCTGAGCCTTATATGTACTGATGTAGAGATTTAATTGTTTTCTTACCCAATATCTACAAGCTTCTCAATCTTTGTGACTCAGGATAAAAATAAAGAAAAAGAACATGACCTTCATTTTTTATCATTCCTAAATGATTCCGAACTACTAATCTTTGTATAAGACAAAAATTCATTACTTATAATACATTCTTCTTTAAATTTAATAAATTGTTGAACTTCTGTTAGGCAGTAAGTAATGTATAGCTATGAGGATAAATAAGAAACCTTTCCTCATCTTGAAAGAGTCATTTTGTTTTGTGGTGCTCACAGACATCTCATTTGATTCTCAAAACAATCTCAGGAGATACTATTATCATTACAATAGAATAATCAAAGCATAACATTTGGAGAGTTTAACACCTTCCCTGAGGTCTCTTGGTAAGTAGAGTTGGTCATTGAGAAATTCATTGCAGATTTCTTGTCCTTAAAGGATATTTTGTGTTTTCAAACAATGGAATGAGCAGGCTCTTTAAACAAGGAAGTTGTCTTCTTACAATTGTACCTATGAAATACAAGAGGGGCCGGTGATATGCTTTAGTAGTTTAAGCCTCCACCTGCGGTCCCATCATCTCATATGGGCACTGGTTCAAGTCCCAGCTGCTCCACTTCCGATCCTGCTCCCTGCTAACAGCCTGGGAAAGCAGTGGCAGAAGGCCCAAGCACTTGGGCCCCTGCACTCATGTGGGAGACCCTGAAGAAGCTCCTGACTTCTGACCTTGGATCAGCTCAGCTCCAAATGTCTGCAATGGCAAATCAGTGGATGGAAGAGCTCTCTCTCTGTCTGTAACTCTGCCTTTTGATAAATAAGTAAATACAAATTTTTAAAAAGAAATATATGAAATCTGCTCTCTTTATATTAATAAAAAAATCTAAAAAGTATTTACCGTGCATCAAAGTAAAAAAAAAAAAGACAAACCTCATGCTGTGAATGCAATTGAATAGCAATACAGGAATAAAGAATTGGAAGGAATCAAAATTGTTCTTTGTTCTATATATGTTCTCTATATATCTATTATATATATATTTATTACCTCACAGAACTTGGTAGAATTATTTTCATTGTGGAATATGATTCTATGCATACTTGACTTATAATAAGATAGCTAATATACATATTATATATATTGCCTTTTGCCTAACGTATCTTGTTCCAATTTAATTATTATATCTCTAGATCACTTGGTATTCTTGGCTTGATGAAAAAAGAAAATGATTCCGTGGCAACAGAATTTATTCTTCTAGGCCTATCATCCTCCTGGGGACTTCAGCTATTTCTCTTCTTAATATTTTTGTTGTTTTACATGGCTACTGTCTTTGGAAACCTATTGATAGTGGTAACTGTGCAAGCTGATGCTCAACTGCTCCAGTCTCCTATGTACTATTTTTTGGGCCATCTTTCCTTCATTGACCTATGCCTGAGTTGTGTGACTGTGCCGAAGATGTTGGGGGATTTCCTACAGCAGGGCAAGACCATCTCTTTTTCAGGATGCCTGGCCCAGATCTACTTCCTTCACTTCCTGGGAGCCAGTGAGATGTTTTTGCTGACAGTCATGGCCTATGACAGGTATGTTGCCATATGTAATCCTTTGTACTACCTGACTGTAATGAACCGCCAGCTCTGTTTTCAGTTGGTTTTTGCATGCTGGTGTGGGGGTTTCATCCATTCTATCACACAGATCATACTGGTCATCCAGCTGCCTTTCTGTGGCCACAATGAACTGGACAACTTCTATTGTGATGTCCCCCAGGTCATCAAGCTGGCCTGCATGGACACCTTTGTGGTAGAGGTGCTTATGGTCTCCAACAGTGGTCTGCTGTCTCTCGTCTGCTTTTTGGTCTTGCTCTTCTCTTATGCTGTTATCCTGATCCACCTGAGGACTCACTTCCGTGAGGGCCGGAGCAAGGCTCTCTCCACCTGTGCCTCCCACCTAACAGTGGTCAGCTTGATCTTCATGCCATGTGTCTTCATCTACTTGAGGCCTTTCTGTAGCTTTTCTGTGGATAAGGTATTCTCTGTATTTTACACAGTGATCACACCTATGTTGAACCCCCTCATTTACACACTCAGAAATGCTGATATGAAGACATCTATGAAGAAGCTGAGAAAAAAGTATGTGGCACCCCATTGCCTTGTGAAAGGATGAGAAGGAAGAGAAAACTTAGAAAATATACTCTTTCTTGGTTCATTCTTTTTGTTTTTAAAGATTTATTTATTTATTTGAAAGTCAGAGTTACACAGAGAGAAGGAGAGGCAGAGACAGAGAAAGAGAAGTCTTCTATCCCACTGGTTCACTCCCCAATTGGCTGCAATGGCCGGAGTTGTGCCTACCTGAAGCCGGGAGCCAGGAGCTTCTTCAGGGTCTCCAGCATGGGTGCAGGGGCCCAAGGACTTGGGCCATCTTGTACTGCTTTCCCAGGCCGTAGTAGAGGGCTGGATTGGAAGTGGAGCAGCTGGGTCTTGAACCGGTGTCCATATGGGATACTGGCACTGCAGGCAGTGGCTTTACCCGCTACGCCACAGCGCTGGCCCCTCTTGGTTCACTCTTAACTCTTCCTACACATGAGTATATGGATGAAAATCATTTGGATGATTTTGGTGCAAAAGAGAAGACTGCATAAAAGTTGTATCACTCTTGATTATAGCTGCAAGGCAGACAGGTGGCTCTTGGGTGTTGAGTTTTGAGCAGGGAACTCAAGGGAACTCATGGCCCACAACTGATAACAGGAATACACTGAGAACTAAAGGTAGAGGACACTTTGAGAAATTAGCTCGTCTGACTTTGCAAGTAGTCTTGCTTTATTTCAGTTCGTTTCATTTTAAACAGAAGATGCTACATATCCTTCTGTGCCCTGCTCTTGTAAGACTCCACAATCCTGGCATCAGAAAGTCCTCTTCTGTTTCAGCAGTCTCTTCAAAAGCAATGGAATTCTTTCTGTCCTGTCTCTAGCAAAGCCTGAAAACACCATCAAGCAGCCTCCATATTAATGTTTACCTATGAACTGTGATCCATATCGTGCCAGATTTTACAAATGCAGTTGGGCAACTCACTTAAAAGGACACAGACTCTTCACAAAGCTTCTGTATGGGATAAGGGAGTTTAAAGTGCCGGGTGGTAGAAGCTGTCAGGACTGTGCTGCAGAGGCTTCCCTAGAGCAGGCATCCTACTCCACCAGGAGTCGTCCTTTGAGTGGAGTTACAGTGGGGAAAGTTGCCGTGCTTCAACGGATCCTCACGTGCAAGAGCTCTGAACTCTAAAGGAAAAGAGAAAGAAATCGGTTGTGTTCAAAGCACCTGCAGTGCTAGCATCCCATATGGGCACCAGCTGGAGTCCCGGCTGCTCCTTTTCCCATCTAGCTCTCTGCTGTGGCCTGGGAAAGCAGTGGAGGATGGCCCAAGTCCTTGGGCCCCTGCACCTGCATCGGAGACCTGGAAGAAGCTTCTGGCTCCTGGCTTCGGATCTGCGCAGCTCCGGCTTTTGCAGCCATTTGGGGAGTGAACCATCGGATGGAAGACCTGTCTCTACCTCTGCCTCTCTGCAACTCTGCTTTTCAAATCAATAAATAAATCTTTAAGAATTTTATTCACTCCTATCTATTTCTGAAATAAGGTTCCTTGCAACATTTTATGACTGTAGAAGAGTATTTTATTCACTAAATACTAAGAAAAAGGCAAACTTTTAGCAATCTTTTTATATTTGCTAACTTTATTTCCTTATCAGTTGCTATGGAGAAGCTTTTATGATTCCTTAGCTGAAAATCACACAAACAAAAATGTCTAAAACTGCACCTCATGCTAGGATTTACTGGGTAATTTACAATTTCCTAATTAGGTAAGAGCTTTTTTTATATTGGAATAAAGAATGGATTTTCATTTAAGGCTAGAATGCAGTGATTTTATGTGTAAGAAGCTGTAACTTTATCTGTACTTCTCACAGACCAGGAACAAGGCTGCCACATGACAGGGACCCAAATATCAGCATAGCTAACAAATTTTTGGAATATCGAATTAAAAGATGAGTTTATTTTGTTGCAAAGACTTTTTTGAAATTCAAGCACAGGTTTTTTCTTTGGTAACATGTGTTTTCCACGACCTTTTGGAGACTCTTCATATATACGGATTTCTCCAGACTCTATTTCAGTTTCAGCTCACTGCACATCCCCTTTTTCTGACTCTTCTCTTTCAGAGCAAAACTCTGCATCTTGTAAAACATTTTAAAAGTCCTGTGGACAGCTGGGATTGTAGTAATATATTTAGATGAGTCAGAGTTTTCATTTTCATTTTCTTTTTTAGGAAAAATTTTTTAAAAAATATTTATTTATTTTGAAAGAGCTAAGAGAAAGAGGGAGAGAGACAGAGAGGGATCTTCATCCACTGGTTCATTCCCCAGGTGACTGCAACAGCCAGCTGCGTGCCAGGCTGAAGCCAGGAGCCTCATCTGTGTCTCCCAGTGGGTGGCAGGGGCCCAAACACTTGGGCCATCTTCTGCTGCTTTTCCCAGGCCACCAGCAGGGAGCTGGATTGGAAGTGGGGCAGCCAGCTGTCTCACATGTGGCAGTTTTACCCACTGTGCCACAATACTGTTTTTTTTTAATTGATATTAAGAGAATAAGTTTCATGTATTTCATAGCTACATTTCTAAGAAGATAACCATACTTTCCTCTCTCCCTCCCTACCTCCCTTTGTACCTACCTCAATCCCTCCTCCTTCCTTATTTTCTTCTCTTTTACTTTAACTTTTGCAATAACATACTTAAATTTACCTTATAATCACACACGTAGTGCAACACTAACCATAATGTTCCACAAGCAACAAGTAGAAAGACCACTTTCCCAAAGGAACATAGACAAGGGCTATAAACAATAATTAAATCATAAGGTGTCAGTTTCATTCTTATACTTCTTTTGTATTCTATATTGACTACCACATACCAGAGAAAACATATTATATTTGTCTTTTTGGGGTTGGCTTATTTCACTAGGCATAATGGTCTCCAGTTGCACTCATTTTGTTGCAAAAGACACGATTTCATTCTTTCTATGGCTGAGTAATATTCCCTTGTCCATATATATCACATTTTTCTTTATCCAGTTATCAGTTGAGGGACATGTGAGTTGATTCCATATCTTATTTTTTTTTTTTTTTTTTGACAGGCAGAGTGGACAGTGAGAGAGAGAGACAGAGAGAAAGGTCTTCCTTTGCCGTTGGTTCACCCTCCAATGGCCGCCGCTGCAGCCGGCGCACCGCGCTGATCCTGGCAGGAGCCAGGAGCCAGGTGCTTTTCCTGGTCTCCCATGGGGTGCAGGGCCCAAGCACCTGGGCCATCCTCCACTGCACTCCCTGGCCATAGCAGAGAGCTGGCCTGGAAGAGGGGCTACCGGGACAGAATCCGGTGCCCCGACCGGGACTAGAACCCGGTGTGCCGGCGCCGCAAGGTGGAGGATTAGCCTATTGAGCCACGGCGCCGGCTCTGATTCCATATCTTATTGTTGTGAATTGATTTGCTATAACACTGCCTGTGTTAAAATTCTTTTAACAAACTAATAAAGTTTCTGATTGTGTCAACAAATTGATAAAGTTTCTGATTTTCTACTATTTTCTCGATTGATACTATCTGGATGTCCAGTGACCCAGAGGGCCCTGCTGAGATGCCATGGCCACTTCCACAACCAGTCTGAGCCTTTTCTTTCTGCTTTCCTCCTGAGAGTGAACTGTACCATTTGTGTGTTCCTCCCTGGGCTGGACTGGTGGTAGGACAACGTGTGTGGACACACCTGGACACTGCATACATATATGAGCGACCTCTTGTGGTAGGGTCTGGAACTAGGAGGATTACAGGATGTGTTGTTGGGGGTGGGGTGGGAGGTGGGACTGGATGGAGCCTGAGGACCAAAGACCTGCTCCATCTACATCACCACATTATGGTGCAAAAATTCAAGGAGTCTGAGAATTTTAAGTTGGAAACTGACCTTCCAATAATTGCAAGGGCATGAGAAGATATTTCAGATTTTTAGCTTGCAACTGACAATGTGAACAATTCTTTGATTTCCTTTTCTCTGTCATTTCTGTGCCTGATTTCTTATTAGTTAATTTAGTTGACAAACAAGACTGTGTGTATTGGTTGTGCACAACATATTTCAAAATACTTCTATATGGTTAAATGGCTCAATTGAGCTAATTAATATGTGCTTCCTATCCATACCGATCTCCTCTTCTTTCTTCAGATCCATAATTTCTCATCTGCAAGTTTTGACCAACCTCAGAAGCTGGTAAAGATATATTGGATTATGTAAGGGTACAGAGTATACGTGGTGATAAGAACGTTTAGGGTAAATTGTAGGAGTCTCCATTTTACTGAAGTGTAAAATGCCACTTGACTTGGGCCTAATTTTAGTGACTAAGAGTATTTGAGAGCAAGTCTTAATCCTAGTTCCATTTGCATCCCATATGTACACCGATTCAAGTCCTGACTGCTCTACTTCCAATGCTGATGCACCTTGAAAAGCAGCAGAAGATGGCCTGGGTCTTTGGGCGCCCATATGGGAGACCAGTATGGAGTTCTAGGGTCCTGGTTTGTTCTGGTCCAGCCCCAGGCATCGTGGCTATTTAGGGAGTGAATCAGCAGGTGGAAAATTCTCTCTCTCTCTCTTTTTTTCTCTTTCTTTCTCTCTCTCTCTCTCTCTAACACAACCTTTCAAGAGATTCTGAAAAAAAGAGCTCTTTTATTTGTATCTTTGAGAGTCACAAATAATACAGAAGTACTTTTTGGTTGGAAAAAATATCACTCTATCCAAGGTAAATGCTATTTGGGTTACTATATTTTTCTTGTTGTTTTGGTTCTGGCATTCAAACAGAGAGCATTAGGGTTGACTTGAAAGTTTGTGCTGTGATTCAGTGATAAACTTTGTTAGACTTCAACAAGCATAATCCTCAACCATAGTCAAGCTCCTTTGACATAAATCCCTTAGAAATGTGTTGGCGTAAAATAATAGGAGTGAGGCTGTGTCTCTAGCAAATTTTAAAAGAAATCAAATCTTTTAATAGTTTCATAAGCAAATAGACGGTTGTGGTTGAGTTCGTGGTCCAATGTAATGCTGTGAAACACCATCCTCCCTCTTTCCTTGCCCCAACTTTAAGTTATATAAATCTGTGGAAATGACCCAACCTTTTAGCTAGTTACTTGCCAAGTGACCTTCAATATAGTTGCCCACAGAGTTATCTAGTGAGGATGATATGTTTTTTTTTGGGAGAAAGGAGGCTCAGGCAGGCTTTGGAAATGGTCACAGCATCTGATCCTGGCACTATGGAACATCAGACGTCCAAATAATATTAATTCTGAAAAATCAGAAACTTCAGTTACTAAAAAGAATTTTAATATGAGTAGTTGATTAGGCAAGTATTGGAGGATTGAAAATGAAAAAGGGAGCACACAAGGTTCTTACTTTTTAAAAGATAAGACTGGCAATCCCAGTTATTCATGGTCATTTAAAATGAGTTTCAAGACCTAAATTTTGTTATAAAAGAGAAACATTGGAAAAAAGGGGTGTTTCAGTCAGCTGATATTGAAAGAAATTCTGGAAAAATCCATGCATATGAGAAGCCTTCAAAAGGTTTGTGGAAAATGTGTATTACAAAAGCGCTATATGTGGTTTTAAAAAACTTGCGTGAAATACATAATCCTATTTCCCACAAAGTTTTGAGAAACCCTCATATTTAGAACTCTCTCCAAGTTCATAGAGTAGTATGTCCATCAATCTTCTGTGATACAGAATAGTGTTAATATCATCTTTAATTATAAAGTTCTAGATCTAATTCACATTTTCCACAAGTACCCTTGTACTTGCACTTTTTCTGCCTAATGACACTCTCCAGCTGCTACCCAACCACTTGCCCAGAAATTCCCCCTGGGTCCTAATGATGCACAAAGATTGTTGAGAGCTTCTTCCTTGTGGAATCCAGGAATATAGAAAGAAACTTTTGCAGACCAGGTCATAAGGCAACACATGATTCTAACCTCATAAAACCCAGAGAGAGAGAGAGAGAGAGAGAGAGAGAGAGAGAGAGAGGCTGTACAAGAGGAGATGTCAGCTACATGACAGAAGCATCTAGATCTCATTTTGTTTTGTACGAACATCTGGGTATAGATCACATTTTTTTTTCTGAGAAAGATTTATTGATCTAAGATCTCAGGCTGTTCAAATCTGTGTCGTGGAACCACACTCAAGACAATAGCCACAGTAAGTTTCCCATCTGGATACCTTAACCACTAACAGGAAGCAAAGGCAGTATTTATTGACTAAAATTATATTGAAGGGTAAAGAAGATTTAAGTTCCTCACTTGTATCTGTTCTAATAATTCTATCAAGCAATTTAGGAAATCTCATTAAGATGCATAGCAATATTATTCTAATCAGAATTTAGTCCTAGCTTGACCCTTCATAGTAAAACTTAGATAGTTCTTTCTATGTGCCTCATTTATTTCACCAATGATTAAATCTGTGGCATTAAATCAAATGACCTCAATAGGTACCAACACAGAGTCAGATAGAAGTAGCAAGTTCTTGTGTTCCATTGCACAATGTAGTTGTTCATTGTAGTTCACAAAACTGCTGAAAGCGAGGATCTGGGAGCTTCCAAACAGAAAGAAAGTAGAAGGAAATGGCAAGAGTAGCTTCCTGGTTTCATGGGTTTACACTGTATATGTGTTGAAATATTGTACTGTAATCCATAAAAATATGTGAGTATTGCATGTTAATAAAAATTTTAAAATTAAGATCCTTTCTAACTGTATGCAGATATTTTTTTATCTTTTATTTAATGAATATAAATTTCCAAAGTACGACTTATGGATTACAATGGCTTCCCCCCCATACCGTCCCTCCCACCCACAACCCTCTCCTTTCCCACTCCCTCTCCCCTTCCATTCACATCAGATTCATTTTCGATTATCTTAATATACAGAAGATCAGCTTAGTATACATTAAGTAAGGATTTCAACAGTTTGCTCCCACACAGAAACATAAAGTGAAAAATAATAGATGATTTTTTTTAAATGATGATGAAATCAGATCAGACCTATTGTCATGTTTAATCCCAGTGAGAGTCAAGTTGGGAGTTGATAATTTCTTTTTCTTTCTTTCTTTTTTTTTTTTTTTTTTTTACAGAGGATCAGTTTAGTATGCATTAAGTAAAGATTTCAACAGTTTGCACTCCCTGCAGATATTTTTAAAAGTTCATGGCAAATGGAATTTACAGATGCTTGTTTTGGTTAGCATTTTTTAAAAATCTGTGCACATGAAGGGTCTTCAAAAAGTTCATGGTATGTGTATTATGGGAAAAAACTGTGCATGGGACTCAAACCAGCACTCGGATAGGGGATGCTGGCGTCACAAGCATCGACTTAACCTGCTGTACCACAACACCAACTCAAAAGAACTGGGAATTTCCAGTCTAATTTAGAAACTGGAAACTGAGTCTTCCTCCCTTGATTAAATAAAATGTTACTCTTTAATGATAATCTGTGCATAGTATTTGTAAAAAGATTCACTGGAATTTTAAATGATGGATATTAGATTCTGACTTGTTATTAATCTATAAGCTCAAATTAATTTGCTCACTTAATATTTTTTTCATCCCAGCAAGGACTGTTGATAAGAGGTAAAGAGAGAAAAAGAGGTAACTAGGGAAAATATTTTTTTTAGAAATAACATTATTATTTGAGATAATAATAAGAAAAGCTACTTCAGATTACTTAGATTCTCTTTTTGACAAAATAACTGTAACACTAAGTAACAGAAAGTGGAATGTGAATCCATACTGTGGCTTGACAACTAACGATGAGAAAGAATACCCATGAACTATTTTCAAGAAATCTAAATAATTCCTTCTACCATGTCTAGCATCACTTAGATGTTGTCTTAGGACTCCTCATATTAGACTTGATCAAGCTTACCATAGTTTGTAACGTATGTGTGTGTGTGTTTTAAGAGAACCAGAACCGTTCCACCAGTTCCGCCAGCGAGCCCATGGAAGTGGCCAACAATGTCACAGAGTTTGTGTTCCTGGGACTCTCTCAAGACCCTGGAGCTCAGCTGATGCTCTTTGCTCTATTCCTCCTCTTCTACCTGGTGATCCTGGTGGGGAACCTGCTCATTCTGCTCACGGTGCTTGCTGACCCCCGGCTCCACACGCCCATGTATTTCTTCCTCAGCAATCTGTCCTTCGTGGACATTGCCTATTCCTCGGCCACAGCACCCAAGATGATGGCCGACTTCGTTTCTGAGAATAAGACTATTTCCTACGGGGGCTGTATAGCTCAGATGTTTACCTTTCACTTTTTCGGTTGTGCTGAGATTTTTGTCTTGACCGTCATGGCTTTTGACCGGTATGCCGCCATCTGCCAGCCTCTCCGCTACACTACCATCATGAGTGCCAATGTCTGCACCGTGCTGGCGTCACTGTCCTGGTTGGGAGCCCTGGGTCATTCCTTTGTTCAGACGCTCCTGACCTTTCAGCTGCCTTTCTGCAATGCTCAGGTCATAGACCACTACTTTTGTGATGTCCACCCAGTCCTGAAGCTTGCCTGTGCTGACACCACTCTGGTGAATATGCTGGTCGTTGCCAACAGTGGTCTCATCTCTCTGGGGTGCTTCCTCATTCTTCTGGCCTCCTACACTGTCATTCTGTTTAGTCTTCGAAAGCGATCTGCAGAGAGCAGGCGCAAAGCTCTCTCTACCTGTGGGTCTCATTTGACTGTAGTGACTTTCTTCTTTGTCCCTTGCATCTTTATTTATCTCCGTCCATCCACCACATTCCCGCTGGATAAGGCAGTGTCTGTGTTCTACACCACCATCACCCCAATGCTGAATCCTCTCATCTACACGCTGAGGAACGAGGATGTAAAGAATGCCATGAAAAGACTGTGGAATCGCAAGTTCTCCTTGAAGGAAAAGCAGAAGGGATAGCTTATCACGGTAAGTCAGAGAACTAGATGATAGCCTGATCTGGTCCCCAATTTATTGGTAATGTTAAGGAATGGTCCCTAGAATTCAGCTACCTTGAACTTTTTATTTAACAATAATGGGACTATTTCATAATAACCTCACTTGACAGGAAATAATTCAAGGCTCTTTTACATGGGTTAAATTTAAACTTTCTTTTTTTAATAGAAAACTTTTATTTAATAAATATAAATTTCAAAAGTACAACTTTTGGATTATAGCAGTTCTCCCCCTCCATAACCACCCTCCCACCTGCAAACCATCCCATCTCCTACTCCCTCTCCCATCCCATTCTTCATTAAGATTCATTTTTAATTATCTTTATATACAGAAGATCAACTTAGTATATACTAAGTAAAGATTTCAACACATTGCACCCACACAGACACACAAAGTATAAAGTACTGTTTGAATACTAGTTTTACTGTTAATTCTCATAGCACAACACATTAAGGACAGAGGTCCTACATGGGGAGCAAGTGCACAGTGACTCCTGTTGTTGGTTTAACGATTGACACTCTTATTTATGATAAATTTAAACTTTCACACATGGACAGGTTCTATTCTCTCTTACTTCCACAATCAAAGAGGAAACCTTCATACTCAATACCTCACTTGAATGCTTTTGTAGATCCTTTATTCACATGAAACACTCAAGCTGCAATCCCATTATTTAGAAAGAGGTTACAAGAGAAAGGAATTCCAAGGAATAAGATCATTTCTGCTAGAAAAGACATCTAGCTTCATCTAGCTTCCTGTTCCTTCCTTCCCCTTCCCCCATCCTTCTTTTTTTTTTTTTTTTTTCCTTTATTTCCTACTGTTTCCCCACAAATACCACAAAATCCAATAAGGGAAATATATTTGTAGAGAGATAATTATTGTGCAATAAAACAAGTGCAGACTTAGACACATGCACAGTATCTAATGAGGGAAATTAGTATAACCTGAAAAGCTGCCCAAGAGATGATTTCTGTGCAGGGGGAAAATGGCATTTCATGAGTTTTGAGATAGAGAGCTGTGTTTTTACAGATCGCCTTGCAGAATTTGAATATCATCTCTCTATTTGGTACTGTCATACTATTTTTACTAAATAAATCTTGCTTCCTTTTTTTTTTTTTGCAATACAGAGACAACATTAATTAAAGAAACTGAAGTGAATTGACATTTGAGCGACTGAAAGACTGAGTCAAGATGTAGGTCTATTATAAATTCTTAGTTAACACTGTTTTCAATTCTTTAAAGGCACAACTTGGAATAGCACATTTTCTTTTTGTGGTTGTCTTAGCAATGTTGGATATAGCTGAGTATTCCCAATACTTTGAAAAAGACATTTTAATTCTTAGGAATTTCTTATGGGCTTGGTTTCACAGTTCATGTCTTTTAGGAATTCTGCTATTATTTTCATCCAACACTTATTTTCTCCATGGCTTAATTCTATATATAATTTAATAAATAATATCATACTCTTATTTACTCTTGCTCTTGTTTTTAATGGATTTTTATCTCATTTCCACACTTATGAAGGATATAAATAATGCGTAGTACTTGTTTTCTACTCTACATACGATCCAGGGATGGCTGCATACTAGGAATTTGGTTTTCCTGTTGTCATTTTGATATCCATTGCTCCTTTTTCTCTCTTAGTAACAGACACTTGGCCACTTTATGCTGGCTAAGCTAAAATACTGCATTGTAATATTTCTATTTTTCAGCTGGGAGTGGACAATATGATGTAAATGATGGATGGCTCAGACTTGTGAAAACTCTGTAAAATGATTTCTCTACACTTGAGCTCCTCTGGATTATATCACCACTAATATTTTGTTGCATTTCCTAATAGTCATTTGTTATATTACTTTTCTTTAGTAAACTATTCCTTTTAAAGTTGATTTTTAAAAATAAACAATAAATACATTGGAACTGTATTAATAGGTTACATTAGTTTTCCTTTTTCTTCAAAGATCTAAGTAAGTACAGTGATAAAAAACACCATAAAGGGGAAAATATTCAGAACCATAAGACCAAAGGAAAAAGGACAGAAGTTATGTACAGGGGAAGATGTGGCAGATAGAAGACAAAGGAGGGAAGTTGACTGGGCAGGAAGAGAAGGCTAACTCTCAATAAGCAGCAGAGAGGAGCCCTGAAGAGAAGGGGACACACTGATTTCCTGGAATTCCAGCCGTGTTTGGGATGCAAACACCAGATCAGAGGGATGATGAGGTTCAGTGGTGGCAACAGAGACTAGGAGAAAGGAATGGTTGTCTCCCCTTCCCTCTTCCCATAGCCTACTCTCATGCTAACAGAGGCATACGTTTCATAAGTAGAGCATCGACATCTTGGCTTTAAAAACAGAATGAAAATTCACATTCTGACTTTGGAGACCACAATGGAATGACTAACTCTCTACTGGGATCCTCACCAGAAGCCTATCAATTAGCAAAATTGATCCTATTGATCCAGAGGTTCAGAGATCATATAATTTGTGTTTTATATTTTATATTCATAGAATAAGACATACAAAGAAAAATAAAAGGGAGCCTCTATGAAGGTCAAAAGAAATCTAGTGAGATCAGAAATAGTACAAGGGAAAAAAAACTTTAAAAATTGTTCATGTCCTCTACTGTAGGAGAGGAGATATTTGAATTCCTGAAATGAGAACATGATGCTTTGAAAAAATAAAGGGAGAGTTAAAATTATGTTTGGAACTAAATTAAAGAACTTCAGATAAAATTAAACAGAGTCGGGAATTTGGCCTTGCAGTTAAAGACACTTGGGTATCATCTTGTAGAAATACCCTGTTTTGAGTGACAGTTCTGCTTCCAATTCAAGCTTCTTGCCACTGGGCTCCATGGCAGGGTAGCAAGTGATGCCTCAAGAAGTTGGATCCCTGCCACTCATATGGGAGACCTGGATTGAGTCTGTGGTAGCTAGCTTCAGTCCGTTCCACCACCAGCCACTGAGGGCATTTGGAGAGTGAACCAGTAGATAAGAACTCTCTGTCTTTTTGACTTTTGCCCATGATATAAATACATAAATATGCAAATATCTTAAAAATTGTAACAAATCAACAAAGGATTAAGGGAAGTAAAGGAGGTAAAGACATCACAGGAGTAAAGAAGTCTCCTTGACAGTAAAATTTAAAAGAAAATCAAAGAAATAGAAAATAGAATAGGAAAAAAACAAAGCAAAACACAAAGAATCAAGTCAAAAGACAAAGCATCCCACTCATACATGTTCAAGAAGTACAGAAAAAACAGAAGGGGAGATTTAAAAATAAATAACAAATTTCTTAGACAGGCTTATGTCTGTGGATATGAAAGATTTGCCAAGCACCCAGCCGAACAGTTCAATAAAAACACCAAAGCACACTACTTTGACATTTTATTACTCTAGGGGTTGGCAAGATTATTAACTCATTACAAAAGAGAAAAAATAAACAGGTGGTAAATGAGAAAAAAGTTCAAATGGCATAGGAGTACATTCCATTGCAAAACTGGCTCGGGAATACAGTGTGAAAATGACTTCAACTGACTTTCAGCCTAGGTTTCTATGCAGAACAAAGCCAGTGATAAGGGAGGAAGACATAATAAAATATTTTAAGATATGTAAGGCTTTAACAATTTTACTTCAAAAGTATTATTTCTTTGAAAGTATGCGACAAGTTATCTGGTAAAACAAGAGAAAGAGACAGGTTAAATAATCAGTACGTGCACTGCAGGTGATGGCCTGCATTGCTTTCATGAAGACAGCTGGTGGTAGGCATAGCGCCCTCCGAGAAGAATGAATGCAGCAGAATGGAAGCCCTCAGGATGGAAGGCTTCAGCAAATATGGGAGAGTAGGAATTTATATTATTTGATGACTTGGGGCATTTACTTTTAAGGCTATAATCAACAGAGTGGAATACTTTGATACCATTAAAACACATTATTATAAAACTATCTGTATCACATAGGGTCCCAACAAGAAACCAATGATACACTCAGAAAAGTATAATTTGAGAAAGATTTATTTTTAAATAGATGGTCTATAACATTATAGATGTGCAGGAGCCATGTGGGCCAGTGCCATTTACCAGGCATAAGATGAAGCAGAGCTGTTAACACCCCTACACCTGGAAGGACTGGGGAAACAGAGATATAGAAACCCCAAAGAGAGAGATTTACAATAGCCATTTGAGAGGAGGACGGGCCTTTAATCTAAGAGCAATTACCAGGTGGCCAAGGGAATAATAAACACATCTAACTTATTCTACTGCCTCCTCATTTTACTGAGGCATAATTGACAAAATAAAATTGAAAATTACTGGGGCTGGTGTTGTGGCATAATGGGTAAAGCTGATGCCTGCAATGCCAACATCTCACTTGGGTGCTCTCTGCTAATGTGGCTGGGAAAGCAGCTGAAGATGGCCCAAGTACGGTGCCCCTCCATGACCTACACAGATCCCAAAGAAGCTCCTGACTCCCGATTTTGGACTGGCCCCAGTCCAAATTTGGGGAGTGAACCAGTGGATGGAAGATCACCATCTCTCCCCCCTCTCTCTGCAACTCTTTCAAATAAATAAATCTTTTAAAAATGGAAGATTATTCATAAATTTGAAAATTAAGCAGTAAAAATAAAATTAATTTTAAAAAGAATACTAAATCACTAGTCATATTCCTTATCATTAAATATTTTACAAAATAGTAAAAGTTACACAGTATTCCATTAAATTTATATACTGCTCAACTGATAAATAAGGTAGATTGTTTTATGTATCATGTATATCACTTATATATCATATGTAAGTATCACAATCACTACTGTACAAACTTGCAGGTGTGTATTTGTGTATCTGGGATGATTCACAGGATATGTTTCTGGAAGGCAGATTTCTTTCACAAAGAATATGAACCTATAGTGATAGATAATGCATACTTTCAAGTTCAACCTTCAACAGTAAGAGAAATTATTTACCTACAGTGTGTGCCAATTT